TTTTTTGGTGTAACTCAAAACCTAAAAACCGTGAACATATACAGTATACACTAGACTTTTCATCATATATGGTTTTCCGACTATTTTGAGTATTTTCGAGCTTTTTATAGCCGTGAGAAATTTTGTTAATTATTCTTCAGTTGGAAATTCATAAATGTTTTCCCCTTCATAACTAATATTTTGAAATTGAATTCAATATTTTTGACTGATTTTTTGATTTGTACACTTTTGGCAGTGCATGAGAATTATTGATACATTTAAAATTATTAAAAAAATGTCCATACATTGTCATTAGCCATACGATAAAATATTGTTGATTAAGTATTAAGTATAACTATTCTGCTGTACAGTAGGTACAGTCAAGTCTCAAGTGTACCTCTTTATTGAGTATGTTACTGTAGTGGATGTACTAGGAGATAGTAAGTTCCTACACTAGAGTAGCAGGTAAACAATTACATACGTTACTACGTTAGTTCCTACACGGACATATCGCACCCCTGAAAGAATAGTGACACAACTCGAAAAATACGTTTTTCGAGATATTACCATCAAAATTTGCAGAATTTCATCCTTTATATTTTGGTGTGGTTGAAATTTTTGATATATATAATATTAAAGACCGTATGAGCTCAAATGTCTTTATTTCTGCTTAAAATAAAATATAGTTTCCAGCTGGAATATCGACACTTCTCAGATGTAACTTTATTCTGGCCTGGCTTATGTTGTTACACAATATTTTTCTAGCAAGAATAATGTCATATCTCAAAAGTAATAGTTTCACACGAGAAAGATTATTTTACTTTAATTAATATAATAATATTACCAGTGGCTATTATAAGAATATCTAGTAGTGTTATCAGTATTATAATCGTTAATTATTAATAGAATGTTATGATAAAATTAGTACCAATAACCGACTAAAATTAAAAGATGGATTTGTTGAAAAAGACAAGCGTGGAAAACATTTAAATCACAAAAAACTAGATTCAAATATAAAAGATGGTGTTCGTGCACACATAAATTCTATACCAAGGATAGAGAGCCATTATTTTCGATCACAAACTACAAGAGAATTTATAGATGGTGGGAAATCTCTAGCTGATATTCATAGAGATTATGTAAATTTATGCAAGGAAAATAATCTTTGTTTTGCAAAAATTGATATTTTTTCTAGAATTTTTAATAGAGAATTTAATATTTCATTTTTCATACCTAAAATAGACCAATGTTCACATTGTGAAGCTTATAAAAATGCTGATGAAGTGCAAAAGGTCATGTTGGATGAAAATTATCAGTTACATTTACACGAAAAAGAACTTAGTCGAACAGAGAAAGAAAAAGATAAAATATTTGCATCAAATACTTCAAATAAAACAACTGTTTTATGTTATGACCTTCAAGCTGTATTACCAACTCCAAGAGGAGAAGTATCAGTCTTTTATTATAAATCTAAATTGTCAACATTTAATTTTACAATTTCCAATATTGTAAAGTCATCAACATATTGTTATGTATGGCATGAAGGTGAGGCTCACCGTGGTGTAAATGAAATAGGCTCTTGTGTATTAAGATATCTGTCAACAGAATGTGATGATCAAAATGTTATATTTTATTCTGATAATTGTGCTGGCCAAAACAAAAATAAATTTATGATAAGCTTATATTTATATGCCATTGCAAAACTTAATATAATTTCAATAACTCATAAGTTCTTAGTTGTAGGGCATACACAAAATGAGGGGGATAGTGCCCATTCTGTAATTGAAAAACAAATAAAAAAATCATTAAAATCAGGTCCTATATATATTCCATCTCAGTATGTCACACTTATCCAGATTGCCAAAAAAACTGGTACACCATTCACTGTTGAACAACTAAGCTCAGACGATATTTATGATATTAAGGATATTTCTAAAAATATTGGAGATAACTATACATTAAACACTAATGGAGAAAAGGTTTATTGGAACAATATTAGAATTGTAAAAGTTGAAAAATGTCATCCCGGTATAATATTTTATAAAAACACATATGAAAATGATGAATTTATGAAAATTAATGTAAACATGAAGAAAAAAGGAAGAAGATCATCAGGTATACCTTACAACATAAAGTTGGCATATGCAGAGAAACCAAAAATAACAGAAAACAAAAAAAGAGATCTTTTATCCCTCTGTGATAGTAACCATATTCCTAAAGTATATCATTCATTTTATAAAAATTTGTAAGTATCTTCTTATATTCTTCTCATATTATACTTGTATTAATAAATATTACAATATTATGTCTGTTTTAATAAATATCTCAAAAGTATTATCTATTATTTTTTTAAATTTAAGTTTTGAACATAACCAAATTAGTAAACCTACACTTGGCAAAGGTAAAGTACTTAGATACTTAAGTAGATAGGTACCTAAAATGTATCATGTAGTTATACAAAATGCAATAATAACAAATATTTACATACCTATTAATTATTATTTTGTATTAAGTGTTATTGATCTTAAATGTGATAAAACAGGTTATAGGTTTTTAATGTTTTAAATAAGATTGTTATTACAAATTTTATTTTATGTGGCGTAAATCAAAAAATATTATTTTTCCAAGCAGAAATAACGACACAAGTCAAATTGAAATCAGATTTCCAATAAAACGATAGTGAAATGGTACATAAATTATCAATTTAAGAATATAAAAGTAAACTATACAATATTAAGAATAATACAAGATTGAAAAAAGAAAAATTCATCAAAAATTCTATTTATAGTGGCATAATAAAACATTAAAAGTCGATTTCCCAACATTTTGATTTTTTGATTTGTGTCACTATTCTTTCAGGGGTGCGATATATGTAAGTTCCTACACGGTAAAAAACAGGTACGTATGTTAGTTCCTACACTGCGGAAAGGGTTAAATATGTATATTATACACAGACGTATCGTTTTAATAATAGTATGTCCAGCCGTAGCTTACGAATATACATTAAATTAATATACTTCATTTAAAGCAAAACGTATACAAAATTACGGGAAAAAACGATTTTTATTATATTTTTTAATCACCATATTATATAAGTACTAAATTTATTTGTGAAAATACACAATTTTTATTATATTTTTTAATCGCCATATTATACAATATTTATTTGTGAGAATGCACTATGACGATTTTTATTATATTTTTTAATCATCATAATATATTTGTTTTTTTAAATTCGTATATACATATTTAATTGTGTATAATATACATATTTAAAGCTTTCCGCAGTAACTAACATACGTACCTGGTTTTTACCATGTAGGAACTTACATATGTAACTTTTTTCGTCGTGTAGGAACTAACGTATGTATTTTGTGTACCTGCTACTCTCGTGTAGGAACTTAATTCGCCTGATGTACTACATTTTAATTTAATGATAAATCATTATCATTGTTTATTTTGGTATTAGTTATAGATTGAGTTAATTTTTGCCAAAAATATCAAATTTACTATATAATTAATAATTACCTATTATAATAATGTATAAATATATAAATATATATATACCAATATCATATATTATTATCGTTGAAAAAAAGAAAAAAGAATCTCATCAAATATTTCAATACAATTCACAAAAAATCTTGAAAATTATTAAAATATTTCTCATAAGTATGGTTCGGAAGTTATAGGAATTACATATTGTTCTGTATCCTCTCAATTTATAGTAGACCAACCAATAGGTCTGAACTATACAAGGCGGGTTAAAAAATTGAAAATGCATATTTTTCAATTTAGCTTAAAAAATTGCATGTTTCATTGATTAATGATTTCATGCGCATATTATGCGTATCATCTTATATTTTTCTAAAAAAATTGATTTTATTATTTGTAATTTGCGCTACCAATAGGTACATTTCAGTGCGTATTTGATTCGCCCCAAAAAATAAAAATATAACATGTATTTTGCGCCATATCTTAAAATTAATTTTGGAAATTTTAATTAATATATATATATATATACATATATAAGTAAGTAAGTACCTATACTTAAATACATTTATTTATTTTACTTTAAGTACATTTTAATAATTTTCTTGAAATGTAATTATTAAAATGATTGACCAACGATTAGAAGTACAATATGTTGATCTGGTAAATAAAAAAATTTTAGTTATTTTAAAGTTGTTCAACTTATAATTTTAATACGGTGACTAATGGCGCAAAAAACAATTTTGGTAGGTACGATAAAGATTATATAATGCCCTTTATTTAGTGTTATGTGGCTCAAACTACTATCTTAAAAAGTGGCTTAAATTACCAAAATTAATTTTGATGTGGTTTTATGTCTTAATTACCACTGAGATACACCCAATGATAATAACATTTAATAATGTATTCTATACATATTTTTCTAACATCGATTTTAAAGTATAACTTACGTCACTGTTGTAAAATTATGTATTTCATAACATGACAATATTGGTTTTTTCATTGATTATTGGACGTTATTATTAAGTTCTTTGAGAAAAATTGCTCAGGTTTGTGTAATAGTATAAAAATTATATGTTCCTACGGATTAGGTCACAATATTGTTTTCCCTCATAATATACAATAAATGCACATATATATATATATATATATATATGTATAGCATCCTGCGCTACACGAAATATTTTTCGATGATCACTGGTGGTGGTTGTGGGGAGGGTGTACTCTATACAAAGCGGTGGTACAATGGCACACACGATTATGAGTTTATGACGAAGGCGACCGACCATGGTGGAGGTGGTAGTTTAGTGTTGCATTGTTGCCCATCCGACTATCCGTATACCCGGTAGGGTCCCTCCCTTTATTGTCGAATGCCGCTGGAGGGAGACGCGCGTACACGACACGCATAATATATATGTAACGGCCGCCGCTGCATCGAACGCTATCCGTAGAAACGCGTTTTGCAAAAGAAAATAAATATTCGGCAGCCGTCGCTTCGTCGGGTACGAGTGCTCGCCTTTTTTTTTTTTTTGGTAAGTCAATACGAGCAAGACAATTTTAGAGTGCGCGTGTACATCGCTATTGCTGCCTGTAGAAGGATAACAATTCGAATAAAAAAAGTTTTTTTTATTTTTTCGTTCAAATTGGTTTCGAATTTCATATTTTTTTTCTCCGCCGCCTGTCTAATCACGTATTACGTTTGGGAATGTACTTAAAAAAATTACTATCGAGACACATTAATGACCGTTGCCCTCGTGTCATTTGCACTCAGAGTCCTTGACTCTTGACCGTTTCCGTTGCGTGCTCGCTTCCCGCCGTTTTTCTCATTTTTCGTCGTGCTGTCATGACATTGTCCATTGTTGTGTCGGCGGCACATCATTGTGCTCTGCGACCGTCGTGAAATCCACTTGTCCGTCGTCGTCATCGTCGCCGACACCGCCACTGCTACTACTATACATAATATACATCTACTTCCACTACTGTTGCTGTCGATTTTTGCAACCATGTATTCGCAAATCAACACGCTATTCAGTCAGGTAAGTGACGATGTCGTTCATATAATATAAGCCTCGGCATAAAGTAAATAATTTACTATGGCGACCGAGAAAAAAATATTTTTATCTATAGAAATGTATTCACCCACTTGTACGTAGGATACGCAACATTCTAAAATATTAATCAGCCTTTGACGAAATATTCTGTTGATATTTTTAGTGGTAGCCGGTAGGTTATACGTCTTATATAGGGTTTGAAATCATGACCCGACTTTGTATATGATTCGGCACTAATGGATCATACCGCTTGACTTATCTGGCCCGTCCAACAACAGAATATATACTTTTTTTTTATCGTATTTACCGTCATCAAAAACTATCTACGCGCCGCCGTTGCGTTGTCAGTTGATCCACTTCACAAACCCCTCCTCAAATAAATTTTTCACCACTGTCACCATCACCCTCGTAACATTGCGGTGTTGTATACATGGCATATGCTATAAAAATAATATACCTAACGCGCAAACGACAGCTGCAGCATATAACCCTACATGGCCTTACCTATATCTAAACGCCTAAATAAAAACGTAATGCAAATAGTAAACTTAAAATGCAGATGCGTTTCCTCAATTTTTTCTTGAACATAATTATTTGTAATTATTAGCATTGATTACATGCATAGTAACTTTTATTCATGGTACATTACCTTAACTATTTTTATCAATACTATTAGTGTCCATTTTGATATAGGTTAGACTATTAGAAAATATATGATATAGTCCGTAAAATATAAAACAGCGATCTGGGCTTCTGATACTTCCGATTATAACTGATCCGTGTCACTGATATTTTTAGCTATTCACAATTCCCCCCCCCCCCCAAAGTACAACACCAATTACAGCTGAATTATTACCATTGTACCTAACGTAATTCCCGAGATAATTCCAATGTAAGTCCCCGAGTGATGCTGTGTTTTCCTTTTACACATAAAATGTAGTTGGTTTATACAGTTTTTCTTAGAAAAATTTGTGTCATTACTCATAAGTACTGCTTGAGTAATATTTATAAATTTTTTATGAAAAGTATTAAATAGGTAATTTGTTTATATGGTGACATTATTATTTCTATATTATTGTTTTTATGAATAGGTACCTCATTGAATAGATTATATCAAAGAAGTGTACAATGTGTCAATGTCTATATTATATAATAGCATAAAATATGAGTGATTAAATTATTGACCTTACTGTATAATTTGAAGATAAACGTTTTGATAATTATTAATATTTGGTACATAAGGATCAATTAAAAAAATTAGTTTAAAACAAATAATCCAATGATTATATTATTATAGGCAAGTATATCTGTATTATTTACAAATGGCTGATGATGCATTTAGTTACAATGGTAGATTATATTAACGAGTCCGAACTATACGGAATACAATTTATTTTACTATTTATTTCTGTTCCAATTTTAAATAACTCAGGCATGTTTTGAATTAAATATTTTTATACTAGGAAAAAAATACTAAATAGCCCACTGAATTACCTACTGTAAAATCTCATTAATCCTGCTATTTTGTTGCCGTAAAAGGAATAACAATTTTGTGTTAGTGGACAATTTAAAAGTTGATTTTAAGATTACTTTTGCAGATAGTATTGATTGATATAATATTTGAAATAAAAAAGTCATGACAGTACGACCATAGATTAGTACACTAAACGATTAGATTACGATACTGAGCGTCGGACACTCCTGTATATTATTATAAATAATTGAATAAATAAGAGATAAAGTCATATTATAATACGTAAAAATTAAACTGTAAAAAAAATACAAAAACCATTTTTAAGAAAAAATAATGTAAACATTGTCAGCCAATGGCCACCGCTGCCGAAGCTTATTCTAATAAAATAAAAGAAAAAGAGATGAAGTTATGAATTAAAATAATATTTCGGTGACGCTGGTGTCTTTACAAAAATAGACACACACAAACAGGCAACAGGTCACAGACAAAGAAAATTTAATAATAATGATAAACAATACTTAATACCTACTCAAAAATAGTTTTTATGTAAATAGTAAACATTTATTTGTATCTTTACCTCCTCGGGTGAAAAATTAATATTTTTGTGATTCCATCATAATTTTATACGCATGATGATATTATCACGACGTGATATTTTTCATTAAAACCATTTCAAAATTGGATTTTTTTGTCCTTAGGGATTTATACTCCCACCATTTGTACGCCCCTGAATATGAATATAATATGTCATTATTCATTATATCTTATTATCCGTTATACATACTGCCCAAATTGTACATCATATATTATCATTTTTAATATTTATAGCTTAGTCAAACCCAACACGAATAGGTTTAAGGTATAATGTTTAATATCAGTCTAATTTAATTGAAAAATCCGTTGAGTTATGCATAGAAAATCATCATAATATTCCTAGGTATCTACTAATGACGATAAGTTTCAGGTAACTGTTTAATATATTTTAGATTCCAACAAAATAATTTAAATAATTTGAGAAATTATCGTTAATTTACATGAAATATCCAATTTTGTAACATTATACATTTGTCATGTGTCTTGAAAGTTAAACCACCGTTAGGCGTTTTTATATTTAAAACGGAACCAAAATTTGTAGATTATTAAAGAAAAGCTATGATATCAACTTAAATTCGTTTACTTAACACTTTAAACATAAAATACATTGGTTATACATACCTATTTCTAATTTAATACATACTCTGAACATTATTATTGTACTATATGGACATTTACGTGATTTACTAATTACTATATTATCACTTATAAAAATTATTAAAATGAATTATTATTACTAAAATGTTGATAATGACATTTGTATCACACTGAATTTTAATTCAGAATGAAATTCGCAGACATTATGCAAAATTGAATTCCCATTTCGTAGCCTAGATAATAACTAATTTCAATGAATTTTAATTAATTTATATTATAATAATTGTGTAGTATTTAATATTTATACCGTTAATAGATCACGATAATAAAGATGTATCAAAAATCAAATTCTTTGAATTCGACATTCTCAAAGGTCAATAACGTATTTCATGTAGGTAAAAGTAATTAAAACAGAAATAGTAGCAGTTTCAAACTATTTTAGGAGTAGTAAAGTTAAAAGATATAAATGTTCCACAAACCAAAAATCAACTATATTATTTATTATTATAAACTGTTGATATTATTCGTTTGAGAGAAAAAATGCTAAAAGCAATAAGTATCAACCTTTAATAAGGTTTTTAGGTGTTTGCCAATTTCTATTGACTTTTAATCAGGGCCGGATTAAGGTTTTTGCCGCCCGTAGGCTGAAATCAATTTACCGCCTAATTTACATAGGTATTGATATTTTACTAATATCTCAAAGTAGTTTTTGGGTCACACCAAAAAACAATTTGGCTGCCCTAAGCTTTAGCCTACACAGCCTAAGCGGTAATACGGCCCTGCTTTTAATTGTGTTCACCAATTTAAACAGAAAACTGTTGTTGCAGCCCGACGACATATTCTAGATGCACCAAATCATTATTTCCGGCCCTGCAGAGATAAAATTATACCGATTAGTTGTTATTACATGATATTATGATGACGTTGTTCCGTTTTTATTATCAGTTATGTATTGTAATTCTATTGTTACATGAAAATTATTCAAATCGAATACGATACAGAGATACAGAGATTGAACGAGATGTACCTATCACTCATAACATATCCGCTCGTATATAATTATAATTTATAATACATAGTTATGTAACACATAAACACAATACAAGTTACGTATATATAATTATACTGCAGTCCTAGGAAGAATGTCGTAATTTCCTTTCATACCATTTTGAGAAAAATGACATTTCATGTTGAGTAGTTTTTGATAGTTCTATTTAGAATATTTTTCAAAGTAAAATCCATAATTTATTGTGGAAATATACCTGACAAATGCAATGGAACTATTCAGATTTATTTTCAATTTGTATTTCACCAAGATATCCTTGTTTTGATATTTATACTAAATATTTTTTTAATTATTTAGAATTGTTTACTTGGAAAAAATACAGAAATTCTGATTACAGCATTTTTACATAACATACCAAACTGTACTTATCACTAACGGTTCTATAAACAACGCAGTATATTATCAATATTAATTTTTAGTTGTAATTAATAACACGTCAATTACAAAATTATAACCATGTCAAGTTAATATCTATGTAATATTTATTCAAATTTAAAATTATATATCACATATACATAATGTTATATTTTCAAAAAATGGTATTCTCTTGTTTGGTAGAATTTGATTCAAATTCGAAAGTATGTCGTCATGTTTTTCTCGTGGTATTCCACAATTCTTTGAATGCTAAGACGTCGGAGGCATTCCTTTTATATTCATATACTTTGTGTCATTGTAGTTGTACTTGTTGATTCTGGTAAACCATGAATAAACACTTATGTTTGGGTCATAACCATAAACAATATTTTCTGTATCAATAGCAAAAATAAAATCTTTACGGTAAAGATATTCACAAGGTATCATCGATAACTGAACGAAATATTATAATACCCATGTATGCGATGTATGATGGCATCGAAATTCAAAACATTATCGGTAATTTAAAATTAAATATATAAGACACAGCTTAATGGCTACCAGTTTCCCAAACAACGCCGTAAAATGTAAATATAGATTATGCGGAAGTACTAAGTAAAAACGCCGTATTTGAAATAAAACTTAAGACAATCATTCCAACCTAACTGTGGTTATAGCTTTTTTGCAAAGCACCAATTATATTTTATTACAATCGTAGCAATATCATTGTCTTATTAACATACACTCCTGGATAAATAATCATAGTTACGCATTTTCGTCTAGGAAAAACGTGCATAACTATAATATTTAGCGTAAAAAAGTATTATCTAATTTTTTTACGGTGCTTTTCCTTGGAACAACACATGCTTCCGGTTTGATTAAAATATAAATTTTAATGAA